ATGTACCAAATGCCAAATACATAAAGTCGGCATAAATGATTATTACAAAATCAATCAAACGAAACTAGTTTGGAATTTTAAGTGTATAATTTTCTTCAATAAACAAGTTATCTTGATAGTGGAAAAAATTAGGTGCTCAAAATTTATCTACTAAATTAATTATTTTTATTACTTCAATTGTACAACAGAAGTAGTATTTCTCTTGAGTCAAGAACAACAAAAAACACGAAGTCTGCAACTTTGTCCCTATTTACTGAAATGTTTGATGTAACACTAATACCTTATGATCCAAGCCTGCTCAGAAGGATAAGAAGTCATTTTACTTATCTGTCACAATTGACCTTCTCATACTACCATCTTCCTCAGGTATGCAGACAAATGCTGCTTCCACCACACTTGATAACTTTATAAAATTTTTTCTTTATTAGTTTGATAAAGATATCTGTTCTGCATATAAGTCAGGCTTAAGACTGTCTTTCAATCTCAACTATCTGAGATTCTTTGTTAGTAAACATCAACCTCCACAGTACAACTACAAATCAGGACAAACAAACTCAGGGTGAACAAAATCTTTCTAGGCTCTGATTTGATGATGCAGAAGCAAGGAAAGCTTATTTAGTAGGTGCAGCCTTCAAGTTTTGGAATAAGAACAGTCACCAATCTGGAAAACAAAATTCCAACAAGACATTGACAGCTACCTTTCTTTCTCTTTAGAGGTCTTACACCTTCATCAAAAGAAGGGTACATGTTATAAGGTACAAACGATGGCAAGAAATTCTTAGCTATCTAGCCAAAATGAACATACAGAAAAAGAAAATAAATAAATTGATGCAGTGCTTTGGCTAGAAATACTATCAGGGATTCACAGACACTGTTGTTCATTAGCTGGTCATGGGAAAAAGTGAGCAACTGCCTTAAATCCCATTTGTTCTGGCTAGCCTGTGTCTTAGGTTAAAAATCTTATAATGTGTCCCTTTCCAGAACGATCTCCTCAGCCAAGAAGGGAACATCTTACAATTATTTAACTGCCTCCCACCCACAACCAAATTTTAGATAGGATGGTTTTGTTTTGTTTTGTTTTGTTTTGTTTTGTTTTGAGACGGAGTTTCGCTCTTGTTACCCAGGCTGGAATGCAATGGCACGATCTCGGCTCACCGCAACCTCCGCCTCCTGGGTTCAGGCAATTCTCCTGCCTCAGCCTCCTGAGTAGCTGGGATTACAGGCACGTGCCACCATGCCCAGCTAATTTTTTGTATTTTTAGTAGAGACGGGGTTTCACCATGTTGACCAGGATGGTCTCGATCTCTCGATCTCGTGATCCACCCGCCTCAGCCTCCCAAAGTGCTGGGATTACAGGCTTGAGCCACTGCGCCCGGCCTGTTTTGTCTTTTTGAGACAGAGTCTTGCTCTGTCACCCAGGCTGGAGTGCAATGGCACAATCTCAGCTCACTGCAACCTCCACCTCCTGGGTTCAAGCGATTCTCGTGCCTCAGCCTTCTGAGTAGCTGGGATTACAGGCACACGAAACTACGCCCAGCTATTTTTTTTATTTTTTAGCAGAGACAGGATTTCACCATGTTGGCCAGGCTGGTCTCAAACTCCTGATCTCTAGTGATCCATTCTCCTCAGCCTCCCAAAGTGCTGGGATTATAGGCATGAGCCACTGCGTCCTGCCGGGATGGTGCTGTTTGAATCACCAAAGACAAGATGAAACAGATGTGATGGGAATAACATCTATTCATCAAGCAGTTATTGAACTGCTGAAAATTGAAACTACTCTATATGTATTTTATAGAGAGACAGTAAGAAGCTAGTTCATAGGTGTCTAAAGGCATAGAATTTACCCTGTGTATAAATCACCAAGGTTAATAATTTAAAAATATGTATCTTACGCAATGCATTTCTTTGCAAAAGAATAAACCAGAGATTACCAGATGATTAAGAAATTGTGGAAAAAAAACCATTACATGGTAAAAGTGGCACACTCTGCTCATCTCTTTTAGCTTCAATGGAATAGCACTGTTAGAGTAATACAGATATCTAAAGAATAAACTGCAGACCCAAGATTTAAATAAAATATTTTTACTTTAAAAACTATTATAATTGTCAAAGGATTTAATTGTATCACATTAAATTCTACATCTGTGAAAAAACTAAGTACATGAAAAATAATGATACCAACACAAAGTTAGACAGAGCAAGAGCTGTCACTAAAATAGAGAGTTAAATGTAACATGTGCCATAGGAATAATTTAAAAGCCAATACATGAACTCATATAAAATGCTTGAAGATAATACAAAGCAATGAAGACCAATAGAAGATGTGTCACCCTGGTCATATCTCTAAGTAACAGGCAATGAAACTCCAGGTAAAGATCTTCCCAATGTGCAGCTGACTCCAGTGCATGGATCATAATCAGAGGCACTTCCTGGTTCAGGAGCAATTATAAAAATTTATTAGCCTCTTTTTATCAGAAGAACCTAAAACAAAATTTTCCCATAAATTTGTTTCCATAAAGAACTCAAATCATTTAGCCACAATCTTGTTAGACTTGCTACCTTGATTTTTGTTAGCCTAGATGTTGTTTTCCACAGACATAGAGAGTAATTCTGTTAAAACAAACCGTTGGGCCTATTAGATAAAGTGGATAAACATTCCACAACAAAACATTATTCACTCAAAAAATGTGTTAACATACATTTTTCATTCAAAAGGGATCCAAACCTTGAAGGTAGCTGAAGAGAGAATTACTCATAAAAGTCCAATTCTTTATCTACGGGGCTTCTTTAGCTCAAAGTTAAAGAAAGCAGCGCATATGTTTCACTATTTTGGCTGTCTTTCAGAAAGGTACCATGGCTTCCTGGAATGAAAATAAGCCTAGAAATGTAATAATAAAGCTTAGCCTTCAAGAAGTTCTTTCCTACTCAAAAGATTGGTACTTTCAGGCAAAGAGGTTCAATGTGATAGAACAATATTCTGCAAACTCATAGAGTTTATCTCTGATGTAAATTAAGTAATCTTAGGACTACTTACAAATCAGATTATTTACATGTAGGCTCTAATTCCTTATTCAAAAATCAACTTAAAAACTCTTCTTGTAAAAGGATTTAAATAAAGTTCATTGAAGCTCCTCCCATGTTGCATGAGATGACTTTACATACAGCTAGATTGCTACAAGATAAATACGGAATGTTGGCTAGGCGCAGTGGGTCAAACATGTAATCCCAGCACTTTGGGAGGCTGAGGCGGGTAGATCACCTGAGGTCAGGAGTTTGAGACCAGCCTGACCAATGAGGTGAAACCCCCGTCTATACTGAAACTACAAAAATTAGCCGGGGATGGTGGCAGGTGCCTGGCCCAGCTACTCCGGAGGTTGGGAAAGGAGAATTGCTTGAACCTGGGAGATGGAGGTTGCAGTGAGCTGAAACTGTGCCACTGCACTCCAACCTGGACAACAGAGCAAGACTCTGCCTCAAAAAAAAAAAAAGAAAGAAAAAGAAAAGAAAATGAGTGTTACCTCAGAATATAGTATTGAATATGTTCACTTTTAATAACACAAGGTAACTGCTTTGGCAGCCTGTGTTCCTAGTGGCTAGTCGCTTGACAATAAAACATCAGTAATCTGGTAGTTTAAGAAGGTTTAAAAAGCCCAGTCAAGGCCTACTCATGTATTCTTGAATAAAATACTTCAGGTTAAAATCTGTAACATTTCCAGGATTCACAATTGTAAATGATCATTCCAAATGAGCACATCTCTTAGCATTCTCAGAATGTGACTATAAGAAAGATTTACTGTTTAAGTTCCTATCTCGGTATGTCATTCAACACAGGGAAGCAGTGATAGAAACTCTATACATTTCCATGCTCATTGCCACAGGACAACCATGGATGCCAAGTTTAAGCATTAGGAACAAGTATGAGTCCTCTAAAGTAATAGTCTACATTAAAAATGAAGGCATAGCCCTAGACGGGGCAGCTCAGTAAGATGCAGAGTACAGTCCACTAACCAAAAAATCAGAAAGTTAAGAATACGTATAAAACCCACTAGCTTTGAAACTTAAAAATGTATCCACAGACAGAAACTTTGGTCATTTTAAAGTGACCTTCACAAATCAGTTTTATGTTTATTTCCATTTTCTTATACAGTTTAAGCCTCAATCAAATCAGTAGTCTCTAGGGATTTTGAAATCGCCATAGATTAAAATCCTCTCTGACTCAACTGTTTGACTAATGCTGAGTATTTAATAATTCTACTTGAGAGTGAATTTTTGGACAAAATCCTGCTGTGCGCTGTCTTCAGATGCTCCCCAGCTCCACTTGAAAGCAGGGCATCACTGTCCTTATTTTAACACTCAACTCAGAAATGGGAAAATATATCACTACAGACAGTTCTACTATTTAGTAGGCCTAGTGGAAAACAGTTTTATAATACTAAGGAGCAACTATCACCAACAAAGGCAAAGATCTCCTCCTCTGAACTAATAATACATATTCATAGCTTGTTTCCAAGGATAAGAAATTAATAACTGTGATAGACCAGAGTTAAGTTAATTAATTTCTAAACTTCATGCTTTTGATAATAAAATCATTGAAGCTATAGCACTTGGACTGTCTCTATTTCCACAGATTAGGCACTCTGATACTCAACAGGTTGAGTAAATTGAATCCATATATTGTATTTACGTTCTCTGTCAAGGTTGCTTCTCCACATTTCAGTGATCAAAGGCAAAACAGTCATCAACCCTGTAGCCTTCAATACTATGTTCACTACATTTAATCAAGTGCCAACTCCACTGCATCTTTCACCAACCTTAGGAATGCTTAAAAGCATGGCATTGTTCAGCAACAAATATAGGCAAAGTACTGCATTAAAATGCATACACACCACCAAACAAAAAATGAAGAAGAAAGCAAATAAATGTCAACCTCTACATTGTATGAAAAAATTAGTTAAAAAGCACAGGACTGCCCAATAAACATTTGAGAGGTGGTTTTCTACCTGAGGCAGCATCAATCACTGTGGAAACTCCCCTTCGATCAGAGACTGGACGGGATGACCCTGGCATGCTGACTGGGTCAGAGCGGACTGGCTGGATCCTGCAATGCAATTTAATTTAATTCATATATGTTACTGGCATCAAAACTGTCACTTGCTACAAAAGACCTTAAATCAGGAATGTTGGAGTAGCACAATCCATTAAAGAACCATCCATCCTAAAACAAGACAAACAAGGAGCTGTAGTCCCTAATTGCTGCACAAGGATAAAGCACTACAAACATTCTCTACAGTCCAGACCCCTTCTAACTTATCTATGAGTGTTATTCCACAGATTTTTAAGGAAGGGACTGAAAAGCTAACATTAATTTAAAGGGATACAATTTGGCATTTCCAAGGGACACACATGAAGAGTTTTGAGAATCCTGAAATTCGTGAATAGCACCATAGCTATTAATGTGTTCCATAAAAGGCAGCAATATGTAATTCAAAATCCTTAATGAAAGTTACTTTATATCTGACAGGAAGCATAGGATAACAAAGATGTACTGTGGCTGGGGGAGGGGGAGCTAGCTAGGGTCACTACTAAGTGACCTACCTTTATAAAATTACCAACTAGCATATAAAAATCAATGAGAACCTCAGTAAATGTACAAATTACCACATATAATTTAAAGTATAATAAACATTCATCCTGGCTAACAGGGTAAAATCCTGTCTCTACTAAAAATACAAAAAAATTAGTCAAGCGTGACACACGCCTATAGTTCCAGCTAGTTGGGAGGCTGAGACAGGAGAATCACTTGAACCTGGGAGGCAGAGGTTGCACTGAGCTAAGATTGGGTAACTGCACTCCAGCCTGGGCAAAAGAGTGAGACTTCATCTCAAATAATAATAATAATAATAATAAACATATAAATGCTGAGTGTCTCTTTCTAGCTGCATTAGAATAAATCCTAACATAAAAGTATCTGGAAGATTAAAAGATCTGAAAGTCCCAGGCAACTTAGAAAAACAAAAACTTATTACAACAATATATGCATGTATTTCTGGTAATTCATTCATACAGTAAGTATTTACTGAATATTTACTGCATGTCAGAATTACTACGGGAACAAGCAGAAACAAAACAAAACACCGACCAATGTCTATATGTATGACACAGCACATGAAATTCACGACAATGCAAAATAAAACTAAAGTGTAAATACGAATAACATAAATAATAAAAGCTCAGACAGGGGAATACATTAAGGGTCCACATAAGATAGAGGTCTTGTAGAGCTGAAATAGGAATTAGGTCTGTATACAGGAATAGTATATGCATAATGAAGAGGAGCAAGAATTGGCCTTTACTCACAGGACTGCAACATGCAGAAACGTAGATCAGTGACTAAATATGACAAAGTCAGGGCATCTTCAAGTACATGATACGGCTGAAGTGCAGAGTTCATAAAGGGTATCAGGGGAAGATAAAAAGTTGATAAGAAATGTGGGGCAAATGACAGAAGCCTGAAATGTCAAGTGTGAATTTCAGACTAGTTATGCAACTAGTTTGAATGCATGTGTTTGTTGTGAGGAAGAAAAAAAAAAAAGGAGAGAGGTATAGCATGATCCAGTACCAGAAGGTGAAAATAGAGACAAGGAGCTGGGCTAGAGCAATTATAAATGAGAATGAGGAGAATTTCAATAGTCGGATTTCTAACTGGATGCTGGGTGAGAAATGGTAGTACTAAAAAGGACTTAAAATTGATGAGAGTTAAATCTAAATTTCCCATAAAAACTGTGCTGTAGGGTCTTAGCCAAGGTCCCAACCAAGCTTACCTGCTGAAAATTTAAAATATAAATTACAGATGCAATTAATAGAAATTTATGAACCTGTTGCTCAATATAAAGATTTCTAAAGTTATATGCGTCCAGTAAACAGGATAATATTCTAATCAAACATAAACAATTTAAAGTCATTTAGATTTTTTTTAAAAAAACTGAGGGACTACAGGTGTGCGCCATCACACCAGGCTAATTTTTTGTATTTTAGTAGAGACGGGGTTTCACCATGTTGGCCAGGATGGTCTCAGGATGGTCTTGATCTCCTGACCTTGTGAACCACCTGTCTCAGCCTTCCAAAGTGCCAGGATTACAGGCATGAGACACAGTGCCTGGCACTATATCTACTTTTAAAAGAAGGGAGTTAGAAAGATCTTAACAGAAGAACTGTATGTGAGGAAAAGAGTAACAAAGAAAGCTGAAGGAGGCCACAAAACAACGGGCAGAGACCTCCTAAGAAAAAGCAGAGCTTTACAGTAGCAGCTAGTCAGTCGCTAGAAAAAAATAAGACAGTGTCTTGTGCATGGTTTTGCAAAGAAACTAAATGTGTTACGTAGTTGTAAAGAGAATAAATTGGTTAGTTATTTTAAATGCTTTATTATTAACATTTAAATAACCAAATGACTATTTTAAACACAAGTACATTGAATCACCAAGTTGAGGACTGAAAAGAATTGACTACCTGACCATGGCTTGAGGTCCTAATCTAGACCATATTTTATCATTAGCATCATTGAAAATTGGTCTTACGCTGTCACTGTATTCTGTCATTATTATCTGACATCTTGGTCAAAAAATGTCATCTTTAGAAAGCTGGAGGAATTATGCTGGAACAAAAAACCAAAAATGTAGAGAAGAAAGAAACAAAACATAAAGCAGACTAAACAAATGAAAAATACTAAACCAAGTATTGAAAGGAGATGCATTCATCTTTATGAATCCTTCTTTAAGAAGATATATCAGTCAGGGGAAAGCAAAAATTCAAAAAGGAACACCAGTTAGGAGTCTGTGAAACATTGCTAGGGTGCTGGCATTGGGAATGGAGAGGAGTGGAAGGTTTCTAGATGTAAATTTTGAATAGAAATGACATAAGTTAGTAAAGAATTAGATGTGGCATGTGTGAAAGGAGAGGTTTCAAGAGTAATTTAAAGAGATGAGGCTGGGCACCATGGTTCATGCCTGTAATCCCAGCACTTTGGGAGGCAGAGGCAGAGGCAGAGGCAGGCAAATCACCTGAGATCACGAGTTCAAGACCAGCCTGGCCAACATAGTGAAACTCTATCTCTACTAAAAATACAAAAATTAGCCAGGCATGGTGGTGTGTGTCTGTAATCCCAGTTACTTGGGTGGTTGAAGTAGGAGAATTGCTTAAATCCGGGAGGCAGATGTTGCAGTGAACTGAGATTGCACCATGGCACTCCACCTTGGGGTGACAAAGTGAGACTCAGTCTCAAAAAAATTAATATACTCATGCCTGTAATCCCAGCACTTTGGGATGCTGAGGTGGGAGGATCACTTGAGGTCAAGAGTTCAAGACCAGCCTGGCCAACACGCTGAAACCCCATCTCTACTAAAAAATACAAAAAATTAGCTGGGCACGGTGGCATGCACCTGTAGTCCCAGCTCCTTGGGAGCGTGAGGCAGGAGAACTGCTTGCACCAGGGAGGCAGAGGTTGCAGTGAGCAGAGATCACACCACTGCACTCCAACCTGGGTGACAGAGCAAGACCCCGCCTCAAAAAATAAAATAGAATAGAACAAAAAATAAATAAAGAGATGAGAAAGAATGGAGTGAGAACAGGATTAGGGAATGAAATGATAAGTTGCAATTCAGACCAAAGTAGGCAACTGGCCATACTCTAGGAATATCTCCTGACACTTAGTAGAATCCCTGATAGGTACTCAATAAATATGCGACATATTTTCTAAACAAATATATCAGGCATAACCCAACTTTGCAATTTTTGTTTTGTAATAAAAATTTATTATTGCTACTGACAAAATTTCCACTATTTTTTTTAAAGGTGTGCAAGAAAGAGGTCAGAGGGTGTTTCACATTCAAGATACACTACAGAACTTTTTTAAAAGAGAAGACAAGAAAAGGGAGAATACATTATATTAGACTGAGTCCTTCATTATCTGTCGTACCCTAATGTGCCAAGTCTTGACATAAAAAATTAGACTGCTAAGCAAACTTAAGACTGCAAGTCAAAACTATCTTGAGTTGCAATTAAAAAAAGCTAAAAATAAAAAGCCATAATTTGTAAACCTGTACTAGGATTCCTACAAGTAAGGATGAGAGAACATGTATTATAAAAATAATATATGTATATAACTGGATTTATAACAACATTTTTCCATTCAAAAACTTTTTACGATTGAAAAGAAGGAAGATAGAGGATTAGATAAAAATCACAGAAGAAATTTCATTGAAAGGTGATGCCAACTTCAGAAAGATCAAGAAAAGAGTACATAATCAGACTTCAAGCAGTTAGAAATATGAGCAGAGCATCAAAAAGTGGAATTGCTTGAAAAGTGCCGTATTAGATTTAGGGAAAATATAATCTGAAAAACAAATATTTATTTCATGTCATGTACTCCCACATGACATCCTATATACCATCTCCAGTCATGACAGTGAATCACATGCAACAGTACATGTGGACTGCAACATGACACTGTGTCAAAAGGGGAAAAGTAAATATTATGTATGATGTTTATTTCACATGAACATATTAATTCTTTTATGCAAATCACTCCCTAGTTCCCATTTCCTACCTGAGACTGTTGAGATCAAGATCATCTGTATCAAAATCCAAAAGAGGCTGTGGCGTGTCACTTGGACCATGAGACTGCAACACAGATGAACTGGATGAGATGACTGTGGTTTGGCCTGAGGGGTGGATGGTTTTGAACTGGAACTGTGGACCCATCCACAGACGTCTGTGGGGTCCAGTGTGTGTTACAATCTCAACCTGGAACGGAGTAGGAATGATGACTTAAATGGATTATGATCTCAATTTGAGAGCCTTTCACAATCCCCCATTCTTCCTCTCAATACCCACATTCTTCAAGAACCCCATGTTAAAGTGGGAAAGGGATAGGGCACCCATAATTAAAAGGTAATAATAATCACAGACAATGCAGACACTTAAAATGTCCCTCTACTGGTTTTCAGCAAAATAAACAAAAATTACATTTTGTGTACATATACATACACAGACACACATGCGCACCTCACTCCATATACAACACAAAAATCCTATGAAAGTAAAAGAACCAGTTGCCTGCCTCATGTAACTAGTGTCAGCTCCCTAGCGTATATCTCCATTCACTCTACACAGTACTTACCATGTTGTAGACATGCACTGAATACTACATCTATTAATCCACAGATTAAAAGTAATTCCTTCACTGAGGATCAAGCTCATGACAAACGTGAACCTGTTCTTGAACTACCTAAGGAAAAGTAAAGGTCTGAAATAATTTTAATGCCCAAAGCCACTTTCTTTCCATAATAAAATATTATAATATTTACTATACTGTCCTAATATACCCACAGTCCACTTTTAAATGAAAAAAATTATTATATATTTTCTCTCAAACTAGGTATTTGTCTTCCAAATAGCCATTAATTAATGGGTTTTCTCAACTGCCGCAAATATTGACACAGGCATTTTATGTGCTACAAAACAGAAATACCAAAATACTTTATGAATTCCACACTCAATGGAGGGGTTAGGAAAAGTTCCCAATATTTTATTAGACATTATAAAGTCAAAGAAGTGGGTGGAAGACACTGGGAAAAGCCTGAAAATACACGTATTACATGATTTTTTACAAATAAGCAACTCGAATGAGAGATTAAATATACAAACTAGTTTAAATGTCTTGTCATTGCTACATCCATGCCTCTGCAAATACTTTATGTAATTGCATCTGCAAATACTTTATGTAATTGACTTCCCACGTGCCTTATTTTTGTCCTGAGTTTTTTTATATTTAATCACATTTCTCTGATTGTGGTGATTAATTCTTAACAAAACATAACTGAAAAGGTTCACAGAGTGTAGCTCTGTGTTTGTGAGTCCAAAAGGGCAAAATCATCATGGTCTTTGGAACAATATTCACATTCCCACTAATCACAGGGAGAAAAATGCTCAGATTGAGGATAGTGATTTCTGATTCAAGTAGTTGTATTCAGCAATGTAAATTAGGCCACAGATAAAGCATTCTGTGTATTTTAAGCTCAAAACCATCAGTGTCACAGAGCCGAGAGGTAAACAGATGCCTGTGCAATTTCACCGAGGCGATGGCCAGATGTTCCTATTCACTCTCCTGTTGTATGCCGGACAAACATATTGTATATACTTTTACACTGACAGCACACATTACCCCTTTCTCTAATTGAAAAGTTGAAGTGAAGGACAGTGGTTTCTCTGCCAGCATTCCTTGGACAAAATTTTGATTTTGGAAAAAAACACATGCATTTTTGGATTTACTTTATCTTCCTATCATTAAGGAAGGATGGATCGTCACATGCCATGAACTGAAGAATTGATCTCCTTCAAGGAACTTCCTATGAATGTTTTTGCTGTGATGAAATAAATACATGTTACCTAAACACTATTTGATTTCCCAGTTTCCAGACTTACTTTAGGTTTTAGGCTATCCTCCTTGAGAAAGAAATGAAACTACAAATGGCCTCCACATTTTCTGAGGCACCTGTCCGATGAAAAGCTGCCAGACTGGTAATCTGAGATAGATCATTAGCTTCACAAAATGATGTCAGACTTGAGGCAGACATAACAGTATTTGTAATGAAGTCATTTGTAATCCCATCATTTTGAAATCCACCCAAGTATCTTTTATTTCAAAGCCCTTTGAATGAAGACAGCTTCGCCTGGCAAGGGGAAGGATGGTCAATTGAAGCTGTTGGAGACTAGGCATGGGGGCTCATGCCTGTAATCTCAGCACTTTCAGAGGCCAACATAAGAGGATCACTTGAGCCCAGGAGTTCAAGATCAGCCTAAGCAACATAGGCAGATGCTGTCTCTAGATTAAAAAAAAAAAAAAAAAAAAAATCAGCCAGCATGGTGATGCATGCCTGCAGTCCCAGCAATGTTGTAGGGCTGGTTTAGAGACCACTAGAAGCAGCATTACATGGGCTTAGGAAAGGAACCCAGACATGTGCCATCAGAACTTCTAGAGTGGAATGTTGTATTTACAATAATGGAAGTATGAATTCAACCTTCAGAAAACGGTGGCTCCACAAAACAGATCCCAAAGATTGTTGAGTAGCTTCACTGTTTCAACAAAGTCAGCTTTTATTTTAAACCTGATGAAAATGTGTTCCAAAGAGCCTATTTAAATTCCAAGCTCTTGGCTGGGCCCGGTGGCTCACACTGGTAAGCCCAGCACTTTGGGAGGCCAAGGTGGGTGGATCACTTGAGGTCAGGAGTTCAAGACCAGCCTGGCCAACATGGCGAACCCCCATCTCCCCTAAAAATACAAAAATTAGCCAGGCATGGTGGTGCATGCCTGCAATCCCAGCTACCTCAAGAAGCTGAGGCATAAGAATTGCTTGAACCTGGGAGGCGGAGGTTGCAATGAGCCAAGATCATGTCACTGTACTCCAGCCTGGGTGACAGAGCAAGACTCTGTCTCAAAAATTAGTTAATTAGTTAATTAATTAATTCCAAGGCCCTAAGGCTTTAAATAGATTGTGTGAAAAATACACAAATTTTATGCCATGTGTATGGAAGCTAACATACACACACACACACACACACACACACACACACACACACACACACACAAATATGTATAATATGTATATGTACACCGGCAGCAATATTTGTGAGTAATCTGTAGTATGGAAAGACAACTAATTCTTGATAACCCAACAGAGAGTTACTAATTCTCCCCACTTACCTCTAAGGAAAAGAATAAAAACAGACAGTAAATTTCTGTTTTCTGTTACTTTAATATTCCCAATATTTCAGAGTTTTACCTGGGAAAGCCATTCTTCATCTTCCTGTCCACTATGGTCAGAAGCTAAACTGTCATAAGACCCATGTCGAGTAATGGGCCCAGGACTTCCAGGGGGAACCACTATAGGAAAAAGAAAATAGATTTAAAGCACTTTGTTCCATGCAGTGGAAAAACAGATATGGGCACAACCATTTTGGATACTGTGGTAATTTATAAGATAAAATATAATACTTTAAAGCACAGAGGCAATTCAAATAATTATTGAACAAGTAAGAATAAAGTTCTTAGGAAAAAGATACTTTAAAAAATATTTACAGGAATTTCGTATGGACATCTTCTTCCAATAAAAGAAATAAACAACTAAGTATATGCTAACAGCAAAAGTACACTGAAGAGCAGTGACAAATCTATTTATTGGGGGAATGAAATTAGGATTCTTTAAGAGAGTTTACTTAGCAGCTTCATATAAATGCTAGGCATAAAAATGCACATTTAATTGAAAAACACTTTTGGTTCCTGAAAAAATTCATTTATCCAGAGAAATGCATCATTTTTCTTAGATACCTGAGTGATTTTCATGATTCTTAAGTGGTATGACATAGTCAAATTATAAACAGCCTACTTTTTAATTCAAATAGGAACATTTGCTTAGTAAAACAATAAAATAATTCAAAACCATTTGCTGAGTTCCTAATATAAACCAGACATTATCTCCTCAAAGTTTTAGTCTCCTCTTTGGAAGCTACCACTCACTCAGCATGTCTGTCTCCGTATCTCTAAAAATACTTATTTATTTATTTTTACGGCAGTTTTAGGTTCACAGCAAAGTAGAGCTAAAGATATAGATATTTCCCATATAACCCCCAAACTCATACATATTTATTTAACCTTTTCTTTTCTTTTTTTCTTTTTTTTCCGAGACGGAGTTTTGCTCTTGTTACCCAGGCTGGAGTACAATGGTGCGATCTCGGCTCACGGCAACCTCCGCCTCCTGGGTTCAGGCAATTCTCCTGCCTCAGCCTCCTGAGTAGTTGGGATTACAGGCATGTGCCACCATGCCCAGCTAATTTTTTGTATTTTTAGTAGAAATGGGGTTTCACCATATTGACCAGGACGGTCTCGATCTCTGGATGTCGTGATCCACCTGCCTCGGCCTCCCAAAGTGCTGGGATTACAGGCGTGAGCCACCGCGCCCGGCCCTTTTTTTTCTTAAGAGATAGGATCTCGCTGTATCATCCAGGCTGGAGTGCAGTGGCATGATCATAGCTCACTGTAACCTCAAACTTCTGGACTCAAACCATCTTCTCACCTCAGTCTAATAATGAGCTGAGACTACGGGCATAAGCCACCATGTCTGCCCAATATTTTCTTTTCTGGAGAGACAGGATCTCACAATGTTGACCAGGTTGGTCTTGAACTCCTGGCCTCAAGTGATCTTCTGGCTTTGGCTCTCAGAGTGCTGGGATTATAGGCATGAACCACCACACCTGGCCTACCATTTTAATACTCAGAGAAATCAAGCAATGAAGTACTGGGAGGAACAGAGGAAAAAGAGGGGAGGTAAGCAGAAAGAGAAGTAAGAAAGTAAAAGACGATCATTAAAGAAGCATGGAAGAAATAGAAAAGAATGAGAAGCAGAAAATAACCTGATAATTTCCACCACCCAGAGACATTTATATACACACATCAACATACAAAAATTTCCTTGATCTAGATTCCTACATATGTAAACAGAGGATGTGAATATATAAATTTCTTAATATATGTTCCCAGAAAGAGTTATACACTTACCCAACCAGTGAAGAGAATGCCAGCCTCACTGAGCTTTTGCTAGAACATGGTAGTATTTTGAAAAACTACACCTTAGTGAAATAGACACAAATAAAATAGACAAAGCATAATCTAGGGCAAGATTTTAAAAGACACAGACTCACAAAAAGCTTATCTTAACTTGTTGCAAGAGGAGAAATGAGAATTCAGTGAATTACCCAACAGAGGCATACATAATATTGAAGTGTAAGATCTGCAGCAGTTAAAACTTTTAGCTGCTAGTTCTCCAAAATCATAGTTCTACAACCAAGAAGCATGGTGGCATTTGCACAAAACACAAATGATCACTAAAGCATACACCTACATTCTTGTGATGACAGTAATATCAAGAATAAAAGAATACTACAATAACTATTATTTCAGCATTCTTTTGAAAATAATTAATATATTAATATATATTGAAAGGCTGATAAGTAAACTGATGTTTTCAAAAGGCTAAATTATTTTCACACCAGTAAATTCTATATTAATTCTTAATACAGAGGAGAATAAGGGATCCTGGAAATTCTCACCCCTTAAATACCAGTGAAAAATGTGAATATGGACAAATTTGTAGAGGCTGGAAAGCAGATGAGGGCAGAGAAGATTTTTAAAGAGGTAAGGTAATATGTTCTGCAAATATCTGAAGGAAAGGTATTACAAATGGAATGTTAAGTACAAAGATTTTGAGGTGTAAACACAAAGGAAATCACTAATAGCCAGGAGGCCGCTGTGGTTGGGTGGGGTAAGCCATGTTGTAAGTGGAAGATGAGTCAGCAAGGCAAAGGGGACAGGACCAGCAGATTATTGTGGGCTTTTCATTTTTCTTTTTTTCTTTTCTTTTCTTTTTTTTTTTGTAATAAAACTGGAGTAATCTAATGGAAAGCAATTGGAAAGTTATAAGTAGAAGTGAGAAACCATGCCTTATGTAAGCAGCTAGTACCTAATGTGAATTTCTCCAAGAGTTTATGTTATGTTTTATATATGCTGAGTCTATGAGTCTAGACTAGTTCATGTCACAGAATAAGTACTCAATTAAGTATTTACTGGGTGGCTGGAGTTTTGGATTCTATACTAAGTAAGTAATGCCACCAGAATGGCTGCATACTTAATTATCCTTCATCAGAAAAGGAAAAATATAACGTCTGGGATTGGCTTCAAAATAACCCAGTGGCAGGGATGGAGGTGGGAAGAAGGATTACAGATGAAAAGAAGATTGGTCATTAGTTGATCATTGCCATAGCCGGCTGATAGCCACATGGAGGTTCATTATACCATTATTTTCTAGTTTTGTGTATGTTTGGAACTTTCCAGTGAGAAGTATCCTCTCTGCCCTCATTAACTTTCTGAAGGAAGTAATAAAGATTCCAAATATATATGTAGAAATAGTACCATAAACATGCATCCCAAAATTCTAAAGAGATTGTAAGAATTTCCATCTCCTTTTTTCACTAAAAATAGTTTTCTAATTAAGCATGCTTGAAAGCCATCAGAAGATGGGCAATATAAAAAATAAGTATGATGGGATAATATTTTTCACCATCAAATAAATATTCTTCCTTATCCCCACCATTTTTTCCATGTTTGATACACTTTTATTATTAAATTGGGTAAAAGGCACAAACATCAAAACAGGAAAAGCATATAACTAGAAGATAACTAAAATCCAAGTAATTTTGAAAAGTCTGAAAGAAGAGTGCAATAAGGGAACATATTTTTTCACAATAAACTAATCATTAACTGGCACTGTGGTATTAAACATGCAACTAGATATATTACTGTTCAAAACTGGTAATGTAATATATTAAAATCTGTTGGTCTTCCTATCATATTCAGTATTGGATGCTTTTTTTTTTTTTTTTTTTTCTGAGATGGTGTCTCACTCGCCAGCTGGAGTGCAGTGGCGCAATCTCAGTTCGCTGCAACCTCTGCCTCCTGGGTTCAAGCAATCCTCCTGCCTTAGCTTCCCAAGTAGCTGGGATTACAGGTACATGCCATCATGCCCAATTAATTTTACTATTTTTAGTAGAGACAGGGTTTCACCATTTTGCCCAGCATGGTCTCAATCTCCTGACCACATTATCTGCCCACCTCAGCCTCCCAAAGTGCCGAGATTACAGGCATGAACCACTGTGCCCGGCACGGTATTGGATTCTTTACACAGTTTTAGGAATTACAATATGCAGTATGGAATACCTTACAACAGTCCCAACAGTATAGAAAGCCAGAACCTTGTTCCTCCAAATGTGGTCCTCAGACCATCAACATTGACATTCCTGGCAGAGCTTCTTAGAAATAAGCAACTTCAGGTTCCACTCACCCAGGCCTACTGAATTACAATCTGCATTTCGACAAGATCCCTAGGCGATTTCATTACACATTAAAATTTGAGAGCTGTGATATACAGGGGTAGACTCACTGCCATTCCTCTAAAATACTCAGTAGCAAAAGTCTGGAGAATCTATATTACCCTTTAGAAGGAAAATAATATGAAAAACTGGTTTTCATTTGAGAGCTTAGGAGGAAAATAATTAGCTACTTAAAACTGTTTCTAAAATCTAGACAAGAAAATTCTGAAATAAGCATGGTTATTTTGAGATTAAGTTAACTATAAATTATTAGAAATTTAAAATAGAAAATACTACCATTTTCATAGGATTTACTTTTTTGTCCACTTCTTATCCTTCTAAACTCTTCACTGTAACCTCAAATTTCAGTATAGATGGCCATTATAGCAGAAAAGCCAAGCTCTGTTTGCCATGACTGATGTTGGGGATATGTCAAGCCAGTACTTGCATGAGTTAAAGTGACAGATCTAAAACATTCAGCTTACCAGTATTCAACACTTTTCTTAGTTTTTGTTGTTGTAGTTGTTGTTTTAGCCAAGGGTGGTTAAGTGTTTGGAAATGAAAGCTTTATCCTTAGGTGGTTTTTGTTTTACAGATATGATCTGCCAGGGTCACACAACTTTCACACAAAAAAATCAGTAATTCTCTTGATTTTGGTCAGTCTACATACAGTATTGAAAAGCTTTGTGAGAGTAATTCTTTTTAATGTTCCCAGGCTGTCTGGTGTAAATATAGAAAGCCAGCCTAGGAGACAGGATAAATGATCTGTGGGAAGGGCCCATAATCAATGGCCAGTATTCTAGTTTAAAATTCATTCTTGGCCAGTCACGGTGGCTCACGCCTGTAATACCAGCACTTTGGGAGGCCAAGGCATGTGGATCATGAGGTCAGGAGTTTGAGACCTGCCTAGCAAACATGGCAAAACCCCATCTCTACTAAATATACAAAAATTAGCCAGGCATG